ATTGGCCGCCCTGAGGGCGGGTGGGAACGCGGTCGAAGACGCGTCTGCTGTGTTTCCCGTCCCAGTTGGCAGTGGCCCCTGGCGAAGCCAAGACGAGTGTTGACTGGCCCCAGATTCTCCGAAATGTCCAGAGCAGGCTACACTGTAAGTGCCTGTAAGACAAGGAAATAAGTCTAGCTTTATTAATCTGTCCTGGTATGGTAAGTCCCTCAGACCATCGTCGCTTTCCGTTGTTTTTGTTCGAGAAGCTTCACATATTTCTTCAACCACGGTGTCTAAACTGGAATTCTGTAGGCTAGATGTGGTCTCACAACGATGTCAACTATTCTTCCGAATAGATCAGATAGTTGCCTTCTGGGCTGCCTTTTTACAGTGCTCTGTTTGCATCAAGTTCACGGTTGTCCACATGCCTAGATCTTTATGTGTATCCACCTCTTCTAATGCTGTGTCATTTATGCAATGACTATGTTTCTGTGACACTTTTTGACCGGGCCTAACGTGTGGAACCAGAAAATTGGCTACATTAAACTTAAGAAGCAACCTGGACGGCCAGATAATCAGTCTATCAGTCTATTGTAACTTCTTTGCGTCATCAGCGCGGCTAACTTCAGCCCATATTATTGGAAGGCTTTCCGCCATTTGGCATAAACCAGTGGGTAGCGTTTTCTTAAATGTATTTTTGTGAGAGAAATAGTTTCGGCAAAAGAGTTCTCGTGAGGCCGCCTGAAAATAAGTTTCCTAGGTCGAATTTCCGCCTATCCAACCAATAGGAGTTGTCTTCTATTCTTATTGGTCAAAGGCATCCTTTACTGAACCAATAAGAGTTTATTTTGATCGATTTGATTTTCTCCACATACACGCGCATGCATGTTTTGATGTTTGCAGTTCCACTCGTTGTGGAGAATGCTGAGATGGTGCCGCAGAGTCTACGCCTTCAGACCGCCGTCACCTTCAATCTTTCCGTATTCACGCCCGGACACAATTGCTCCCCCTCCGTCTATCAGGTTCGTGTCTGGCCCGCCGGTGAGGGCAACGTTGACCCGGCTGGAACCCTGCTGAATATCACTCTTACGAAACAGGACCTCTTTAGCATGGCCAATCGATACAGCCGAAGGTAGCGCCCCTTCCCCATACTTTCGCTATCCCATTTTATCAGCTGTTCTTCCTGAACACACTACTTAATGGTGTATATCCCTTTACTACACTCAACTCTTACTGGTGTTATTATATACTACACTAATCGACACATTGAATTACATGCCGTGTACAAAAAGTTCAGAAGAAATGGTATAGATGTCAACAAATCCAAACAGGGCGTGGTCTACAACCGTTGCTCCTCGGCCAAACCACAGACTAGTACCGATTTTTTTCAGTTATGTGTGGTCATTCTGCATATTTGCTGCACGCCTAAGGACGCCGTGGGGAACCAGCGTCTCAGATAAGTGGAGTCGAGTTTGTTACGTTTCTCACAGTACTTATTTGAGTTCAAATTAGAGTTCTTGAGAGGTAGAGAAGGGCGTGCCGAAAAAAGTCAAGACAGAATGAAATGGCCATTACAAAATACCCACCACACCTCCGGATGACCTGGAATTTGAA